CCAGCCTCCAAGAAAATCATCCTTGTGCCAAAATCGCCAAGGAAATTAATTTCCTTTATCTCCTATTCTTTAGTGAATTTGCTTGACGGTTTGTCGCCAAGGATCATTTCCTTAGTGGTTTAAGCCCTTTCCATGGCGGTTTTGGCACTCAAGGCAATTCGGGATTGTGGTAGTTATTAAGTGATGTGGTATATAATTTGATTGAGTCCCATGCTCACTTGTGCTCCTTCATGTAACTACATTAAATTATATTCCTACTTAGGACAGAAGATGCGAAAAGATATGTTTAAGTCCTATCAACAACCATTCCATTGCTATAACATCATAGATGAATGGAAAACTTTAAATCCTGCAAGTCCCAGCACACTTTACACTCATGAAAAACTTTTCAGCATGAAGCTACCGAGATGTCGCACCGTGCATCTGAGCAAGTAGAAGCAACAAGCCTCATACTAGAGCCCCCGTTCGTATTATTCCTTGCACCGAGATGTGCCAACAAGCTTCCCCTACCCCTACATTGGCTGCCTATTAGTATTAAGGAACAATCTGTCGTCGCTATTGATGAGTTAAATTTGCACCATTCACATGCTCAGCAGGTGCTTCACATCTACTACGTTCACCACATTGTTGCCGGATGACATCTAGATCTGCAGATCACGCAAAGTTAGCATTATGACAAATTACCTTTCAATAATCATAACTAATCAGCCTTTGCTAAGACCACGAGGTCCTGTGTACATCGATAAGTTTCTGGTCTGCATGGTCGCCATGGCATCTAGAGCAGAGGGAGCGCTCTGCACCAAGGTTTTCATTATCGGAAATAAAAATTTATCGGAGGTCATGGATAAATAGGATAAGCAAGATATATCGAAAATATCAGACCAAATTCAAAAAAAATTCAAATTGTTTTAAAAAAATTCCGTAGAATTTGACTTGAAACTATTCCTAAGCTATTAAACATCACTTGTTTACAGATAAAAACAAGAATAAAATATTATAGTGTGGGATTGTCACACGGCTAAATTTGGTATGTCTGTGTGGAAGCAGGAAAGAAGGGAAAAATTTGGCCTATGTCAAATTTTATCGGACCCTGTGGATAGAAAGGAAATTTCAAAAATTTCCGTGAATTTCGGCCGATAAAAAAAACCTTGCTCTGCACAACGGGGAATAAGAAGTTGTATAGCCCAAGTTTTTAATTTCGGTATCGCCAAAATTTCAGCCACCACCGAAATTACCGAATTTCGCGAAATTCGGCCAAAATTTCGCCGAAATTTTTTTAGAGATTATCACATGAAGTATGTTTTTTCTAAAAAAATTTGGATCTAAACAAATATTAGTATGATTTATGACTACATATCTATTAAATAGAAGAATATGCAATATAAACAATAGAAAAATATAAGATTAGAGTTATATAGCACATGTATTAGTGTATTAAAAAATTTCGGAGTTTTCTTTCGGCCACCACCGAAATTACCGAATTTCGTGAAATTCAGCCGAAATTTCGCCGAAATTTTGAACCCTGGTATAGCCGACGTTCCTCCGGTTCACACGGCTCGGTAGGGAAATACTCAGGGAACACCTTGACGAATCCGGTCTCTAGCAGCTAAAACACAGCCACGCTAGATTGCTGCGCTCTGCATCGAGACGAGCCATCTTCTTTAGGCTGACCACTGTTGTGCACCACCTTGCAAGATAGAACATACACACTAAACTCTGAACCTCTTATATACAAAACTGGTGTAGCATGTCACATAAAAATGATATTGGCAGAATAGTGTCATGAATTTTTAAATGATTTAATTTTAAAAACTAAGTATCAAATGCTTAGGTAAAGTATTGGATAAATACCAAACACAATGTAAACAAAAACATATGGAATACAATTTTGCATGTCTATTAAATTGTACCCATTCGCAATGTTTGCAGACAACATAGCTAGTTCACTATTACATCAGCTCATGGCTGAGAAAGGATCAAACCCAAGTAGATCACGTGGTGTTTAACATATCAAACATCACAAATCCTACTGTTAAAATCGACACTTGTTCTTTGGAAAAAAAACTACATGGTAACCGTTTCCAGTGCTTGGCATGCTTTGGCTTACATCATCGCTGCTTCCTATCTCCTTTTCTAGGAATGTTAACACCCTAAATATTTGCCTGCATAAAAGATGTAATTGTATTTTATATATCATTTCAATGCCGTAACCATATATATAGCTCAACACAATGGGTCTTTAATTTCTTGCACGACTTTGCAACCAAAATTTATGTAATGCAGCCCATGGCCCCCTGCACAGCAAAAGGTAGGATTTCCAAAAGAAAATGAGTGTCACGATCAATGACGGAAGTTCATTAAGGATATATTACAGAGATAAGAAATATATAGATTGAACTCAACAACATATAAGAGGGAGGGGTAGGAGCACACTTCATCCAGAACTGTTTGTATCATATATTTACTTGGCTAATAACATCAGAGATTTTTTTTAAAGTGAATAACAACAGGTTGGTAGACCTCCTATAATACTTATACATGTCTACTAAACCAGCTGGTCCTGAGGAAAAAATGTTTTAGTCATCAGAACGAAAGAGCTAAATTCGCATCTACAAAATCCAAGAGTAGGAAACAAAAGACAAATTCAATAACAGTTGTGCTCTTTTTCTACTGATCATTATTGTACCACTGATCAGGAAGCTCCTTATTATTTCATTCTCTATGAGAATTCACACACTGAAGAGCAATAGAAAATTAAAACCGTAGAAAATTAAATTAGGAACTTAATTTTCCCTTGGATACTATAAGATGTAGAATTGCTGCAGTTCCTTCACTATTGGATCGATCGGGTCCTCCAAAACATTTGTCCTGTGACGTCAATACTAACATTTCATACTAAAGGAACCAATTTTCCCAAGCAAGCTAATCCTAATCCGTTTTATTATTTGACAGAGATATCATAGGCGATATCAGTAATGCGTTGTAAAGACAAATGTTACTAGTATACCTTATTATTAACTGATGCTTTTCTTCTTGGGTTGCTCAGATGCCTAGAGCTAGCTCCTGAATCTCTTTCATCAGTTTTGCAACGAGTTATATAGTAGCCCTAACAAGCAAACACATAGATCCCACTTATGTACTAAATATACAATCTATATATACTACCGATAAGTGAATAAAAATGTATGATCCACAAGGTAGAATTCGGTCCTTCTTTCTAATATGTAGTTATATCCAGGTGTGGAGGATACAGATATCTTGCAAGTCCAAACACACTTTATACTCACGTAAAATCTTGCAGAGCATGAAGCTAGCGAGATGTCTCACCTTGCATCCGAGCAATTTCAAGCAGCAAGATTAATGCTGGAGTCACCATTAACATTCCTCTTGCTCCTTGGACTATATAAACCCACAAGGTGATCTCCATTCCTCCTCAGCAATAGAACCACATCACCACCTGGTTTGGGGGAAATTAAAGAACTGGTTCGAAAATAATATAGGCATAGCCATCGACAATAGGGAGATCCAAAGGCAAGGTTAGCAGCAATATAGGCATAGCCATCCACAAGACAATAGATCGTTTGAAAGGCAAGGTTATCTGCAGCAGCCATGGCCACCACTCCACCCCAGAATGACCTTCACCCCATCCTTGCTCAGGAACTCTAGACGATTGTCTATGAGCGCAACATCGGACGTGAAGTACGTAGGAGTGAGCTCATGTTTGTTCCTTTTTGTTTGCTTGAAGCAAAGGGCATTTCTTGAAGAACCTATTCGCTAGCTAGCCCGGTACGCTCTGCATTCAGACAAGTTATCTCCTTTAGGATGACAATTGATGTGCTAGCTCATAGGATAAAATGTACAGTATCCACAGAGAACAAACACATAGGCAACCTAGAAGTAAACAAAAATGTATGATGCACAAGGTAGCAACCTAGAAATGGATGCTTATGTACAAATATGTGCAACCTAGAAGTGAAGAAAAATGTAAGACCCACAAGGTAGCAACCTAAAATATTGGACCTACAAGGTACCAACCTGCTGCTAATTAGGTGGTGAGTGATGGATGGAGATCGTGAAGGGAGATGAAGATTTGTGACCCCTTTCCCTTTGAAGTAGTTTTACTCCCTTGTTTTCCTTGAAACATGATTTGCATCTGAGATCTTGGGATAATTAGCATACAGGAGTACACATGCAAAAAAACTTGTAGCACGAATTGAGCGAGATGTCTCACCTTCTGCCTTAGTAAGCAGAAGCGACAACCTCATCCTAGAGACCCCTTTCGCATTCCTAACAGTGAGATGCGCCAGGCTTTCCATGCCCTGACATAGGCCGCCTGTTCAACAACACTACAGGATCGCCATTGATGAGGTTGGTCTGCACCAATGAGACGCTCAGCAGATGCTGAACATCCTCTACTTTCACGACGTTGTTGCCTGATGACCTCTGGATCTACACCTCACACAAAGTGAGCATCACAACAATTTCTCTTTTGAAAATAAGAACTAATCCACATTTTTCATGATAGAGTGCCCTTGTGTAGTCCATGGCCTTCATGGTTGTTGAGGCAGCCAGAGCAGAGGGCACGGCCGGCACAGTGAGTGCAGACAAAGTTATAGTTGGTGCTCGACCCACCTATTAGCACAGCTCTCATTGGCCGAGTGCTCGGAGCATGCATCAAAGAACCTAGTCTCCAGTAGCGTATGCCCCTGGATCGGAGTGGACTACAGGGGCAAGGTAGGTAGGAGACGCCTCTTGCTCCTTGGGTCCTCTCCTCCTCCCGAGTCCTCACACTATATAAACCCCCACGGTGATCTCCATTCCTCCTCAGCAACAGAACCACATCACCACCCAGTTTGGGGGAAATTAAAGAACTGGTTTGAAAACAATATAGGCATTGCCATCGGCAATAGGGAGGTCCAAAGGCAAGGTTAGCAGCAATATAGGCATAGCCATCTACAAGACAAGAGATCGTTCGAAAGGCAAGGTTATCTGTAGCAGCCATGGCCACCACTCCACCCCATAATGACCTTCACCCTATCCCTGCTCAGGAACTCAAGACGATTGTCTATGAGCGCAATGTTGTACGAGAAGTACGTAGGAGAGAGCTCACATTTGTTCCTTTTTGTTTGCTTGAAGCTAAGGGCATTTCTTGAAGAACCTATTCCCTAGCTAGCCCGGTGCGCTCTGCATTTAGACAAGTTAACTCTTTCATGATGACAATTGATGCGCTAGCTCACAGGATAAAATGTACAGTATCCACAGCGAACAAACACATAGGCAATCTAGAAGTGAAGAAAAATGTATGATGCACAAGTTAGCAACTTAGAAGTGGATGCTTATGTACTAGTACGTGCGACCTAGAAGTGAAGAAAAATGTATGATCCACAAGGTAGCAACCTAAAATGTTGGACCTTACAAGGTACCAAACTGCTGCTTGTTAGGTGGTGATTGATGGATGGAGATGGTGAAGGCAGATGAAAAATTGTGAGCCCCATTTCCTTTGAAGTAGTCTTACTCCCTTTTTTCCTTGAAACATGATTTGCATATGAGATCTTGTCCTACCTAGCATACAGGAGTAAGTACTCTGTTGAGACTGGCAGTCTCAGACAGTGTGGAGGAGGTAGAGGCCTCCGCCTCTCAGACGGTGTGGAGGAAGTAGAGGTCTCCGCCTGCTACGCCGCTCCTCCCGGCGGAGGCACGGGAAACAAGCGCGATAGATGGGCAAGTAAGGAAATAGCACGCAAAACTAGGGTTTCATTAATTCTTGCATCAACCACCCGCACGGTTACAAGTGTTCCCTATTTATAGGGCTCAACTACTTCCTAACGAAATTTATTACAATGCCCCTCAACTGCTACAGTACATTCCTGGAATATTCCGACGCTTGTCTCTCGTTTGCGGGGCAATCCCACCACGTCGTCTCCAAGTAACGGGCCTCCATAAGCGGCCGGCCCACCGTACTTCGATCTTTGGCCCAAAGACTCGGGTTCCCGATGCTGGCCTCCGTCTTTGGGGGCGCGCCATCGCCTTGGCGGGTCTCCGCCGGTCCGGTAGGAAACATCGTCCGTATGTCTCCTCCCGGCCACGCGGGGGCCGTGGTTCCCGACGCTGGCCTACGTCATCGGGGGCGCGCCGTCGCCTTGGTGGGTCTCCGCCGGTCCGGTCGGAGACGTCAACCGTGGGTCTCCGCCTGGCCGCGCGGGGGCCATGCTGGCGCACTCGCGCGGATCATGGGCGCCTGCGCTTGAGTACCTACACACACTTAGGCAAGATTGTTTGTTTAATTAGTACAGAGGTAAGGCGACCTCCGCCCTCATGGTCGGAGGCACCCGTGAGCCGAAGCGGGGCGGCGTCCACACGAGCATAGGTCGGAGGTCTCGGCCAGACGGCACGGGCGGAATTCGCGACAAGCCCGCCGAGCCTCATGTAGTGCCCTACAAGCATAGCTAGGAAAGTTTCTTTAGTCGGGGCCGCTGTGTCTCCACCCCAAGACGGTCGAAGACGCCTTAGAGACACTATGTTGCCGGAGGCCTTCGTCACCCGCCGGCCGTGTTACAACAGTTCCCCCTTTTGAGACCATGGTTCACGGAGCGTGCCGTGAGCTCAAAACGCCTTTGGCCAAAGGCGTCCATGGGAGGAGGCCATATTCATCTGCGTCTTCGAGCGAGGCCCTCGCTACTTCCCCCCCCTGCCCGCTCTAGCGTGGCGGGCTGGTCTCGTTGAGAGTAGCCGTTAAGCAGCAAATCTAGCCATTATCCTATATGGCGCCGCTTGCTTATGCCGTGGTTCCATTGCATACCTTGCGACTTTTTCGGAGATGACCGTTATGCGGTAGGCGAATTTTCCGGAGGTGACCGTTGTGTGGCGGGAGCCGGACCGCCTGCCCGCTGCCTATATAAGGGTGTTGTTGGTGGCGGGGTCCCCCGCATTGCTCATTCGCTTTCATCGCATTTGAGACATCGCTCTCTGCTCTCTTTGCTTTCGCCTTTCGCTGCCCTCGCGCATTTCGTCTGTCTGCTTGCGTCTCGCGCTTAGGCTGCTGTCGCGGTGGCTTTTCTTTCCGCCTCCGCCCAAACTCGCCGGCCCACCTTTTTTGGACCCTACCGCCACCTCCTCGGCGTTAGGGCCATCGGCTGGGGTGCACGCTTTGAGGAGTGCATGCTTGCCTCTGCCTCCGCATTGGAGTTTGAAAAGCTAGTGGAGGAGGATTTGGGGAGTGTCTCTGCGTCTGTCGGAGACCTGATCGTCGTGGATTCTGGAGTCATGGCGATAAAGTCATGGGATTTCGGCCCCTCCTCCATTACTGAGGAGGCGGTCGTGGAGATGTTGAAGGAATCATATTTTCCTTCTACGAGGGTAAAAATCCCTCCGCTCGGCCAGACCGTTCTAGAGCCGGAGGAGGGATATGCAGTGGTGTTTCGGGACTTCTTCACCTGCGGCCTCCGCCTTTCTTACGTCCCCTTCCTCCGCTGGGTATTGGAGTCTTTCAACGTCCAGCTCCATCATCTGACTCCTACGGCCTTCCTCACGCTCAGCAAATTCTGCTGGACGTGTCTCTCTTATGGCGCCGAGCCGGATGTGGACACCTTCTGTGCTTATTACGAGCTGCAGAAGCAGCCAAAGAAGAAGAAGGAGATGCGGGAAGGCAAAGAGGTGGAGGTGATCTACCAGTATGGTAGTTGCACCTTCATGTCGAAGAGGAACCAAGACGTAGATCGCCTGGAGATTTCATTCTGCCAAAAAGGCAAATGGGACCGCGGCTGGCTTGAGCAGTGGTTCTACGTGAAGACCTACGGGGTCTGTGGCACCACCGAGGATGGTGCGGAGGTCCGAGAATATCCACTGACCTCAAGGATGGAGGTGATGGCGCCGCATACGCGCGTGGAACCGCCGGAGGTGGTGTCTCTGGCGAGGGAAGCCTGTGAACGGGCCTTTGCGTTGGTGTGCCGTTACTCCGGGGGCCGCGATCTGGTGGAGGAGATAATGGCCTCCAACTATTGGCCCCTGAGCAAAGACAATCCACCCTTTCAGCTGGAAACGGTGTCGATTCCCGTTTTTGGGCCGGAGGCTGGGATTCTGTTCCCCCGCTTTGGCTAGTCTTTGGGGGAGGGGGTGATGGAGGACAGCTTTGTCTCTGAGGTTGAAGAAGCCACCATCGGGTTGGTCGGCAAAATTTCCGAGTGTGAGTACACGTCTCGGAGAGCCGTGGCAAGCACCATGCCGCGGCTCAATCGAGTTTTTGAGGAGCTCGGGATCATCTACCGGGAGCGCGAGGTTCCTGTGGAGGTCCTGGCTTCGCTTGATAAGAAGAAGAAGAAGAAGACCTCCGCGAAGAACATTACGGTAGAGGCCGAGTCCAAGAAGAGGAAGGGCGCCACTGTTGCACGGGCGCCTCCAAAAAAGAAGAAGAAGGTTGGCACTTTGGTTATTGCGCCGGCCGCATCTTCGTCCGGTAGTGCGGGCGTTGACTCTGTTGGCAGTGAAGACGGCCAGAGCTTTTCCGTCCCGTCAAGGGATGTGTGGGTCACGGGCGACGGAGATAGCGGCTCTCCTGGTGCTTCGGTGCGTCCTTTGCGTGGCGCTGTGAGCGGTGCGGGGCCGCCAGAGGCCAGCGCTGCTCCGGCACGATCCTTGCACGGTGTCACGAGTGGCGCCGAACAGCAGGAGGCCAGCGCCGTGAATCCTATGCCCGACATTTTTGGTGGGATGTCCTCAAGTTCTGAAGAGGGCGCGGAGGTCGGCCTGAGGCATGCTCCTCCTGCTCCCGTCGTTGCTTTGTCTCCCCCCACGCCAGAGGCCATCGATGGGCAGCCGGAGGCCATGCTAGCAGAGTAGGCCCCGGCGGCTCGGTCTTCCTCGAGCCCTCTACCGAGCTGGCCTTCTAGTCCTTCACCGCATGATACGGAGGAAACTTCTGCCTAAGGGGCTCAGCATGCGGCCCACCCTGGGCTTTTTATGAGTAAGTTGGTTTGGCGCACACTTTTGTGTTTACTATCTTCACCCAGTTTATTTGTTTATGTATTCTATGTTGCTTTTGCAAGTGATGTCATGGCTGGACTCCTCACTCCGGAGGAACAAGCGGCTGCTGCCAGCGCCAGGTTTGGTCCAGGGCAGCCGAGGCCGATGGCGCCGGGTCCAAGTGAGTGTGGAGTGTTTTTATCTTACTCGTCTCTTGGTCTGCTGTTATTGCCTATGTCCCGATCGGCCCTCCGACACGACTGAGTTGTTGTTTTTTTTTTCACGCAGCTCCTCCCAAGCACTTCTATCTCGGGTTGGGAAGAGTGCTATCTTGGGGTTCTTGGAGACGTCGGAGGTGGTCTCCGGCAGTCGTTGTATTCATTGTGAGATTTGTTTTCCTCACCTTATGGTTTTGTATTTGTTTGTTCTTCTTTGAACAGATCGCTTCAAACAGCGTCTGAGGGACATGGATTTCTTCTAGCTTCTCCGTGTTCATCTAGAACACCAGAGCTTGGTTCGTCTTCGACAGTTTACATTTTTTGGTGTATGCTCGCCTTTACATTTGTTTTGTTTTATTTCTATTACTGATCACCTTGGTCTTCTTCTTTCTGATCGTAGGGGTATCACACGGGCATTGTTATGGAAGAGCGATGCACTCGTGAGGTCTCCGACCGAGATTCTGCGATTGAAGCGCTCAAAGCGGAGAACGAGCGCCTGGAGGGTGAAAAAGGGCGTTTGACCAACTCCCTTGCAGCTCTTCATCTTTCATTGGCGGAGAAGGAAAAAGAAACGGAGGTGGTGAGGGCCGATCTCGCCAAGGCTGCCGAGCAGGTCCGCAAGGCGAACGAGTTGGCCGAGGGTCTCCGGCGAGAACTGGCCTCCGAGAAGGAATCCACAGCTGTGATGGAGGGGCAGCTGACTTTGACGACGAGGCGTTTGGACTCGGTCAAGGTGGTTCTTGCTGCAACCGTTAGCCAGTATCGGGCCATCATCGCTTGGTTCGGTGGCGAAACCTCCGCTCCTCTGGAGGAAGACAGCGTCTACGCCCTCGCGTCCTGGCTAAAGCGTCACCTTGCGAAGCTCTCCGATCTGCTGAACGGCTGCACGGACTATGGGGCGCTGGCGGGGGTGACGAACTATGCCAAGCTTCTAGTGCGTGGCGGGTGTACGCATACTGAGAGTATTCCGGGGGGTG